TGGGCAGCACCCTGAGCCCCTGCTCCACTCTCTCCCTTACTGTGGGGGCCTTAGTTTGCTCCCCCTGTCTCCCCTATGCCCCCATAAACTTACCTGCAGGGAGCTGCTCCCTAAACTGTCCAGCTGTATTTCTGACTGTGCAGGGATGCACATGCATGTGGCAACCCCTACGTCCCACTCCCAGGAGCCCCAAGCTTGCAAGGGGAAACCCACTGCTTCCCAAATCCAGATTCCTGCAGGATACTATGAATTTGGGAAGTGAATGCTGTCCTGGTGTCATGTAGCCTGGGACTGGGATCTGATGTTCCCATTCCAGGACTCCCACACAATTAGGGATGAGTGGTCACCCTACTGCTACCCCCGCCACGCACACACCCCATCCCACCACTCCTCCCCCAACTGCACATTCCTCAACATACACCCCTCTACCCCTCCACACACAATATACAAGAGTAAGACTTTATTTTGAGCTATTATATGGTGTTGGGTGGATGGGCCGCCTTATGTCATGGACCAAGTGATAGGGTGGGACTTCCGGATCTAAGATAGCAACACTCCCCTCCCAAAAAGAGTACTTACTGGGCAAGGGGAAGGATTGCAAGTGGGAAAGGTTGGGGTTTAGGGGCAGGGCTTCCAGTCCCAAGATAGTGACCGGTGGGCAGGGCTTAGCAGTTTGACAAGGGGTGTACCCTTGTGGCCCTCAGCAGCTCACCAGAATGCATTAAGCATCCCCCCAGCCAAAATAATAGCCCACCCTTGGTCTAAATGCTACAGAGAAGATCAAAACGACGGCATGGGATGTCTATTCTTTATCCGCTGGTAGGAGTAGATCATTTATAAATGCTAACTTAGCCTAAATCAAAAAAATTAGGCTGACTCCAGATTGTGCCGGATCTAGGATATTAGCGTCAATCAGATGAACTCTTAGTACTCCTTGGACTTGGGCTTCTCTGTGAACTTGTTCTGGGGTGGGAGGCTAGCTTATTAGAACTAGCGGGAATTTTTACATGCGCTTGTGGTGCGGCGCCAGGCACTTTTTATTAGCAAGCTGCCTTAATTAAAAGTGCCTGGCGCTGCATCGGGAGCAGGTGTATCAGTGGCGCAGTGTGCATCACCACTGAGAAAACGGTGGCAGCGCGCTTTGAACTAAAGCGCATAAAGCACTACCACCATTTTGTCAGCGCTGATGCATGTGACGCGCGAGGTTGCCAGCACGTATCAATTTACGTGCTCGTGCAGACTCAATGAGTCGAGTCTGCTCCAATGCACTGGATTTCCAGCACATCAGAGCAGACTCCCTGCAAGTGTGTAAGAGCCCGGTGTTTCCAGGCTGGATTTTTTTTGATGGCATCTGGGCTACTGCATGTTTGAAAGAGGATGGGAAGAATCCTCCTCTCAATGTTGCAGGAGGAGCAGCACTAGCTGCTGCTGCTTTCACAAGCCTGGAAGGACAAGAGGGAGGTTACAAAGGGATCGCTGTTGGATATTTTCATGCACTTACAAGCAGTGGGTGAGAAGAGTGCAGTAGCAGAGCTGAATTATTCCAAGTGATGTCGTCTCACCTACAGGCTCTTCCTTGAAACAGTCTCAGCTGTCTTTATTTACTATTCCAACTTATCACAGCTGCTTCTGTAACACTTCCTATTGTTGTAATTGCTTTACACTTTGAGATGCTTTTTTAATTATAAGATTGAATGACAGAGGTCATAAAAAGATAATATACTTGAAGGCATTTGTGATATGTGATATATAGCATGCTTTAAAATTCCTTTCCTTTAATCCAGAGCAGTTCTTTCTGAAAGCATGTATTAACTGGCATTTAGCTTGGGGACAAAAAAAAAAAGAAAAGACAGTACTATTAATGTTTAGCATAAATACTCTGAGTAAAACTTTAAAGGCTGTTTTTCAATTGGTAAACAGAAGGGGAAGTGATATCTGTACTGTTAAATATCATAGGGTGTAGCATGTTTTGAGTATAGTTTTTCAGAGAAGTTAAAAGGTGGTGGTAAAAAAAAAATCTAGTTCATTTTTTTTACTGCAGGATTGCTCCCTATAGTACACTGAAGATGATTTTCAATTGTATTTGTTCTAGTGTTAAATATCCCTACTAGTTAGGGTTTATCTCTTCTCTTAAGAGACACGTTGGCCCAGTTTCATTAATTTTTTTTCTTATTCCTCATTTAGTGCAATTATTCTTTTTTATACCCCTCGCATCACATGAAGTCTTCAAGTCAGCAGAGGTTTTATATACGTGTGTGTTTTGCTTAGTTTCACAATGGCTTTTCTTCTAACTTCATTTTGGTAATTTTATCATAAACCTTGTTTTTCCAGGTTTTCCTTAGGGGATGCTCGCAGGCCACTTCATGAAACAGCAGTGTTAGTGGAAGACATTGTCCACACTCAGCTGATTAATTTGGTAAGACTATTTTTAGCCTTTTGATTAAAACCATGTCCCCAGTTGGACAAACCAGTCTTTGATGTAAAGAGTCTAGATAATGTTTTAGCTCTGTCATACTCTACGTTGCACATGGTGCGGGGACTGCAGAGTGTGTGAATAGTTCTCTGCCCATGACAGTCTGGAGAAATCGCTATAACGTCCAGTTATGCAGATCTCTGCTCTGCTTCTCGTTCTTATAACCATATATCACTGTAGCCCCAGGTCCACTTAATTTCAGCTGCCTGCATCTCGCACTTTTTTTTTTTCCAAAAAAAAAAAAAAAGGTGAGGGATGGCTATTTTCAAAATCGTCTTCCTTAAAATGCAAAAATAATTGATGACGTATAACTTTTGTGATGTTTTAAAATGTTTTATGAAAATATATCCAAATATTTTTTTACTAATAGAAAACTAAATGAAAAAGATGCATAATTTTAATATTTTTTAAAAACCTATCAGAAATATTACTACAGAGTTGTGAAAAACCAAAATGAAACTGTTTTAAAACTTATTATGAATCACAACTGGGAATTTTTGTTGGTTTTTTTTTACATTTTGCCCATCTCTCCTGAGGACTATGTGTTGTGAAATTAGTTGCAGACCAGATATTCTGTTGTGGCACTCATTGGTATTGAAAAGACAGCGAACCATGCCAATAATACTTTTAACATGTTTCTGAATCTAACGTGTAGTTGTTTTCTAAAAATTAATTCTTTTATGCATCTCCTTGGATTGTGGAAGTATTAAGAGAACAGTTTTTATTGGTATGAGCACTGAGGGGAGTTTATGGACCTTATTGTAAATAAAGAATTTGTGCTTTTATACTTCTTTTAAGATGCACTAGCTGTAATATTGTAGTAACAGAGAATTGATCTGAACTACGCTATAAAGGTGAAGCTAAAGTTTCAGTTCAGTCTTATACCTTTTGAGAAAATGCAGTTGTCCTCTAGGCATAACTGCGTTTATACATTCACAAGACTACTTCTTCTTCTTTATTTTTTTTTACAGTGACTTTAAGCATAAAAAAATATGACCATTGCTTTATTTATCCTGTAGTGTTAGTAGCAGGAGGATTATTTATTTTCATGCTCCATTGATGCTTAGTTGAACTTTATGGTAAAATTTGCATTTGACAAAGATTTAACCTGTGGCCTTGTGGTCTTTTTGTTTAAATAAATAAATAATGAATACCTTAAGCTGGATACTTAGTCAATGGCCATGACCTCTAGGTTAACCCTAAATGGTGTGTAGGAGCATGTATGATTTCCTGCCAGGAGGAAGAATGGGAATAGACCAGCAGATAAACTGCTTTTCTAACCTCTCACCTTTTAGCCCAAAACAGCACTTTGTTTCAGAGGAAGTGAAAGTATCTTTAATAGCTTATTGTTTTGACCTTTGACACCTACAGGACGCAACTCTTCAATCATGAACTTTTTGCATGTCAGGTTTCTGATAAGGATTTTTCACTTTTGTTATCTTAGGATGTTTCAAAATCTTCCTGAGTCGGCATCAAATATTTATTTGTTTTTTGTCATCTTAAATGCTTATGTCCACATGTCGTATTAGGCAACAAACTAATTGTGTATTAATGCTGCTCCGTGTGAGTTTAGTGCATAGCCCTCGTGCTTTACGTGCAATATAAACCTTCTTATCTCTTTTCCTTTTTCCACAAGCCACATGTGTGATGTTTGTGATGTGTATATGATGCAAAGTCACCATGTTGTTATCCATCTTTCATAATGGATGTTTCTAGGAAGAGATCATAATTCTTTATCAAATCCAGATTTGAGCTTCTGAATTCCGGAGTAAGAAGCCAGCTTGATTATCTTTGATTGCTTGACTTTTGATATCTTTGAAGTTTATAGTTCTGACTTCCTATTTTCAAAGTTTATCTGAACTCTATTAAAGCGGGGGCTAGTTTAGACAGATTTACGTGGTTACTACTTCAAACCATTACACACTTCATGAAGTCTAGCTGCTGTGGGGGGTGACAGCACCAAGAAGTCAAATTTTTGGAAAGCTTTTAAATTAATTCTTCATGGTTGCAACCTGAATCTGGTTTTGGTGATCTAAATAAAGGTCACAGTTTTAATTCAAGCAGGTGCAGTGTCAGAGTGGGCACTTCCACTAGCTCACGCTAGCAGTCCATATACACTGTCACTTCATTAATGTCACAAATTTTGCCAACTTCATTTAAAAAAAACAAACTTTTATACATGTTAATTTTAAATGCATTCTTGGATTTTTGCTAAACCAAAACCAATAAATAAGTATAGAATGAAAGTAGACATACAAAACTTTATGTAGGCATATTCTCTGTGTACCAACAGAAATAAAGCTAAAGTATATTTTATGGCTTAAAATGATATTTTCTTCTCAAAGAGCACAATAACAAGGTTTTTAGTCCTAAGCCAAGTTCACTGGGAGCCTGTAATACATTTCTGGGGGAAGTACCTTCTTGATTAACAATGTCTGTATAACTCTGTAAGTAACTAAATCATTCTTAGATTTTACGTCTTTGTACTGTTGCAGTTGCTAGAAGCTACAGTCACGCCTCCGTTGTGCTGGGTGTTGTGCACGCATTTAACAGAAATCTTTGTTCCAGAGAATTTTAAAATCTTAATAAGAGGAGATTGTTTAAATTCCACCTCTGTTTGAGTGACTACGTATTTTCAGTGGTACCTTGCTGTACAAAGTGTATTAAGATTTTAACAAGCAACAGTAGATTTGTTTAATTAATGTACAAAACTCGTATGTAATGGTGAAAATGTACAAATCTCCATGCAAACAGCAACAACAACAAATGAAATCTCACAAAACTGCTACGTTTTAAGTGTTGTTATTTCTGCATGGGGAACTTGAACTTGGGAGGCTTAAACTTCCCAAAGCCATGGAAAGTGTTTCCTTAAGAGACGGGAGCAAAACTTGAGGCTTCCTGACCCACACTTTGACACTACAAATGCTCTATCATATAGTCTCTGTCTTTAGGTGTCATTAGCTTTTCCTTATTGTGGTGCTGGATCCAGTCTCTGTTAATGAACATGTAAACATGTTTTATTGTATTATATTAAAAAACTATTAGTGTGTGTGTGCATATCCTTCGAAATATGAGCCATATTTAAAGTGTTGCAGGTCCCACTTCCTTAGCTATCCTAGGCTAATGGGCTAGGATTGGCAGACCCTTGATTTTTTTGAGTTTTTTAAAATGCCTTGTTTCTCTGTGGCATTAAGCTGTCTATACTTAAACTGTGGTGGTATTCTAGATCATATTTCTTCACATTACTCCATGTGGGTGAGCTCTGAAGCCAGGTAAAATAATTTGCAATATCACATCATTATATATTTGCCTCGATGCTATTGCACAACTGATCTTTTTAGCAGAAACATTAAGGTGGACTGTGTATTCGTTATTTGTGGATGGTAACAGAAGATGGTTGGGCAGTTGTAATGAGATAGCTAGTTACTGATCAGAGTTATGCTTGTAGGACTGAGGAAGTCAAATCTTCAGCCCTTCAAATGGAAAGTTCCCTTGTTCAGAAGGGCGAAGGAAAGTGTGATGAATTTTAAAGCAAAAAAGCTGAATAATCCCTTAGAGTCCACTAACAAACATTGTGCCATGGGTCCCTTTTGGGTGCAAAGTTGCCCGGCTCGTTCCTGTCCAGCTGCCAGAACTTTCAGTTTTCCCTGTTTGAGTGTAATATTTGAATTTAACAGATCCAGTATGTCCCAAAAGACGTACAGGACCATTTGTACTTCACTGGAATGAAGGGCAACGCATGTGAAGAGGGCACAGTGCTGCACGTTCTGGGTGCCTGCTATGTAACATGTCCATGTAGTGGTGTTTGTCAGCTTTTTTTTTTTTAAATTGTCTGCGAATAATTATACTTCTGCACCCAAGCTTATCAATATATCAGTTACAGCAGCAATTTCAGGAAACAAAACAGGAAATGCTGGGTAAAATTCATATTAAAAACTAGATGCAATACAACGCAGAAGCAATAAGAAGAGAAAAACTGAAAGCATCATACCACTGAATATTGTACACCATCATATGTAGGAAAAGTACCTATTGTTAATTAATTTATTAATGCCCAGGCAAAACACAACCTCTCTTTGTTTAGAGGTTAAATTTTTGCCACCAGTGGTGCCCAGGTAGCTTTTCCCATTGAGTTCTAAAGGTAGGATTTGGCCCTCAGACTTATTTTTATTTATCCTAACTTCCTAAATTAACAGGAATTTTCTAATCTTCTATAAAAGGTTTTGTGGATTGTTATTTAAATAAAGACATGGTCTGGGAGGCAGACATCCTAGCTGATATCCTTTCACTCTGTGGATTTGGTCATCATTCTTAATTCTTATTAGTCTTGTATAATCTTCATTTGGTCCTAACTATTTACTTCTTTAAAACCTTAGATAAATACTTCTCTCTCTTTATTTTCCCAACCCCCTTCTTTTTTTTTGGACCATGCACTTAGGAAGTTTAGGAGTCTAAATTTGGTGGGGAAAGAGGGCAGGGTTGGATCAAGACAGTGTGCCACCCCCCCACTCTTCCTCCATACACCCCTTCCCCGCCAGAGAGGCAGGTAAGCCAGTGGGGTGTGTGCACGACACAGGGGTTTAATCAACCCTAAATTGAAGCAGTGTTTTTTTTTTTAAAACCCACCGCTTCAATTTAGGGCCCCTGTTTCATCTGCACATGCCCTTAGGTGTCCATGTGCATCATGCAGGAGAGACCAGAACATTTTTTTAGTCGTAAAATCAATTGGAATTGCACATGTACCTCTTTGAGAACAGGGCAGCAGGATTGGACCTGGTAAGTGTCCAACCTACTCATCCATAGCTTTCTGCAAACTTTTTAAATTCTGCAGAACTTTTTTGATTGCTTTATTGTTTAATCACTGTGATAAAGGTAACCTATATGGACTGAGCATCAAAGACCAGATCCTTGTTGCAGGGTTCTAGAGCTGATACCTGCAGACT